TGCCCAGCGGCAGAAATGGTCTGTATTGGTCACCACTGCATCTCTGCTGCTTGGTGCAGTGCCTGGCACATGGCTGACATTCAGTAAGTTTTTGAAGAAACTTGGTTTCATAGATAAGAAAACTGAAGTTGAAACTGTGTAGCTTTTCCAGATACCTACTAAGTGACAAAAACACCTCTAAAATGTGTGGTCTCACTCTATACCATAATGCCTCTATGGATGAATTTCTCTGAGCCTGGGTTTCTTCTTCCAAAGAATGAGACAGTTACACTAAGGTCCTTGTCTTTTCCCCTACTTATGACTTTATTATAAGAACCAGAAAGATAACGTTTTTGCTCTTTGGCCTATTTTCAGACCATACTGAGCCATTTTGCCATTCTTTTGGGAATTCTCTTATTTCCTTCAAAAATACATTAGCTAATACACTGCTTTTGTTGGTGAAATTGTGGAGGGAGAACCTGAAGATAGCTTGTAGTGAGCAGAGAGTTTTAGAAGGAAAAAGGAAGAGTATTTCTCAGGTCTGTGTGGTTTTATGTAGAAGTAACCAAAAGTTGGGGCAATCTTAAACATGTAGGGTAATCAAGTGTTTAGTCTTGGGAATAATTGAAGCCCTCTCACCTTAAAGATTCTCTTTTAAGTAACTATTTAAATTTAATTATATTGCCTAGGGCAGTGCTTTCAGAGGGAAAAATTCTACAATTTTTGGGTGTGTAGTACCAAATTGTAATTTATGGTATCAGTACTTTATACTTTTTATAACTATAGATGATAGAATTTAAAATTTGTTTTTATATCTGCTTAAGTTCTTATTTACTGATCATTGTGACTTTTGTTTGAGACAGGGGCTCAGGTTGGCTGTGAATGCAAGGCTATTCTCCTGTCTCAGCCTCCTGAGTACTGGGATTACAGGTGTGTGCTATCATGCCTGGCCTGATCAATCTGATTAATATGCTAGTAGAAGAGCAATAACTTGGCAGCATATTCCTTTATATGCTAAATAAGATTTTTAAAAAAAGATGTCTAATCCCAAGTTCTGAAGAGCCAGGAGAACAAAAGGATCTGAATTGTTGAGCTCCTCTTGTGTAACTTTACTACTGTTGGTTGCTGCTCATCCCTCAAGGCCTAGCTCCTGTAGATAATGCCAGCAAAGAAAGATGAAAGGGCACAGCACCTCATACTAGGTTAGTTTTCAAATTCCATTTATAGTAGAGGCACAGTGAAGAGAATTGTGGGTAAGCTGAATGTCTTTAAGTTTTTAAGGTAGTCTTTTAAACATGCCATGGAACCCTGGAGAGGTAGAGGTTGTAGGATTCACAGGCTCAGGCAAGAAGTGGTTTAGCTTCTACTTCCTCCAACCACATAGCGACTCCTTTATTTCTGTTACACTAACTTCTCATAGTATTTTGTTTGAAGAAAGGGGCTCCCTAATATAGTTCCCGCTATTGGTACACACCACCTGAGTCTCATTCTCTGCTGACTGAGCTAGCCAGGCCCCTGTAGTACACACCAACTAAATGTGTCTCTGGACTTTCCTGCCTCTTGCATTTTTGTTTTCTGTCCATATAGTTAGTGCTGCTCTGTTATTACTTTTCTACTTTTTGGAGCTATTTCGTAGAATTCCTTATTTCTCTATTCTTTTTTTCATTTTGTGATATTGAGGATTGAACCCATAGTCTCATCTATTACTGAGCTACGACTCCAGGCCTAGGTCATTGCATTTCTAATAAAAGTAATGATCAGGGGCTGGTGAGATGGCTCAGTGGTCTAAAGCACCTACTTAGAACAAGCTCAGCAAAGCACAGGGACCGCGGTTCAATCCCCCAGCACCACATGCCAGCCAGCCCCGCCCCCTGGTGGGCTGAGCTGGCCACACACGCACACACACACACACACACAAATAAAATTTTAAAAATAAAAGTAATGATCAGCAAGCAGTGTTGATACTTGAAAAAAAAATAGTGATGACCTCTATTCAATTTTTTTTTTTTTTTTTTTGGAACTGGGGATTGAACTCAGGTCCTTGTGCTTGCCAAGGAAGCGCTTATTCTACTGAGCCATCTTGCCGGCCCCTGACCTCTAGTCAATTAGAAGATGACTTTAACTTAGTTTATAACATTTAATTAAAAAATATTCTTAAGGGGCCGGGGAGATGGCTCAGTAGAATAAGCGCTTGCCTGGCAAGCCCAAGTGTCTGAGTTCAATCCCCGGTTCTGCAAAAAAAAAAAAAAAAGCCTTAAACTGAGCATGATGATGCATCCTGTAATCTCAGCACTGTGGCAAGTTGAAGTTTGAGTTCAGTCTGAGTAACTTAGGTACTTATGGGGAGACCCAGTCCCGAATGAATGAATAAATGAATGAATGAAGCTCAATGTGAAGGCATGGGATTCATGCTCTGCTACTCAGAAAATGCTACTCAGAAAATAAAAGAAAGAAAATAAATAGTTTTTAATTTCAGTGATTATTTTATAAATTTCTTAGAAATTACAATTTTCTTTTTTGGTGGAACCGGGGAATACTCAGGCCCTTGCGCTTGCCAGGGAAGCGCTTTATTCCACTGAGCCATCTCCCCGGCCCCAGAAATTACAATTTTCTATAAAGATTTTTATAGAAAAATAAAAGAGTGACATCTTTATTTTTTTTAAATTTTATTTATTTATTTATTTATTTATGTGTGCGTGTGTGTGTGGCCAGCTCAGCCCACCAGGGGGCGGGACTGGCTGGCATGTGCTGCTGGGGGATTGAACCGCGGTCCCTGTGCTTTGCTAAGCTTGTTCTAAGTAGGTGCTTTAGACCACTGAGCCATCTCACCAACCCTGACACCTTTAAATGGTAGGGATTCGGAATATACACACCATTGTATTACCAAGCTAATGCTCTTTGTTTTGTAATTTGGGAAATCAAGGGGCAGGGATGTTTAGTCCAGCTTTCCCTCTGCTGCTCAGCTCAAATGGAGTTGAGCTGTGTCTGAGTAATTCTAGAGGGCGCAAGAATTAACGCTAACCCCCTTCAGAGGCAGGTGTATTCTCTGTGCATGGCTATTTCCTGCAAGTCTGTTCCTTTACTACATCAGCGTATCTTCTCACAGGGACCTGGTTTTGCTTTAAAATCTTTGAAGCAACTTTTTTCCTTACTTTAGCCATGACAAGGATAATGCTAATAAAAAAGATAAATCATGCTGGCCAACGAGTAAGAATGCTTACTTGTTTTATTCTCTTTCATTTGGTTTAGAGTTCAGAAACATAAGCCTAAACTGATTTAGCATCTAATTTATTTTAAATATTTTGATTGCCAAGCTTATTAGGTATGTTTGTGTGAGAGTCATTCACATTTCCTTGATGATTTAAGGGCATTACTGTGAGCTATTTAGATCTGTGGCAATATCCTTAGGCTCATTTGAGTTTTGTGGAAACATTTTCCTATTCATGTTAGTTCACTTTAATAAATACTTAGTGATTATGTGCTGGGGGTGGGGGGGAGAGAGAGAGAGCACGTGTGTGTAACTTGGAACCCTGCACTTGCCAGGCAGGCACTTATGCTGCTGAGCTATCTCCCTGCCCTAGATTTCTTGTATGCGCTGAGGATGCAAACATGAATGAGGAGCCAGTCGAAGTATTTCAGTTGGGCCAATGTTACTGAAGACATAAAGGTCCTTTATGCAATCCTTTGTGGTAAAGCTATTAGAAAGAAGCCAGAACAGAATGACTGGGTGTGGTGATACATGCCTGTAATCCCAGCCCCAGGGAGGAGGATTGGTAGGAGCTTGAGGCCGGCCTTGGCTACATAGTGAAACAGGGCTACTGTTTCAAAACACCAAAAAAAAAAAAAAGAATGGACCATCATATCTGTAATAAGGAGATACTGATATAGAGAATAGAAGTGGGAACAGAAATGTCTCACTGCTCTGCTACAATATGGGTAAGTACTAGACTAAAGCACAGTGGAGGACATGAGCGCAAGTTAAACAGCATGGGGATCTGTAGGGCAGAGAGGTGAACACATTAGGGCACAGGACGTATCCTGGCGTCAGGAACAGCCCAAGCAACGTCTGACAGTGCACCGAATGTCCTTGGAGTGGCAGTCATTTCCCAAAATGAAAGATGGAAAAAGTGAAGGAGGGGTCAAACAGTGAAGGGAATTCCGTGTGCCTTAAGGAGCTGGAACTTCATTTTTCAGTGCTGGTGACCCCTATTAATAGGTTGTGCGAGTAGATATGTCTTATAAATTCTGGTAGCATTATACAGAATAATGGAGAATAATAGTTCTGAAGCTCAGGTTATCATCTTCCATCTTGTCTATTTTTTTTTGCCTGTGAGCTTGTGTAAGAGCTAATGAAGGGTGCCTGCCCATTAGCTCAGTCTAGGGATGGGGAGATGGCTCAGTGGAATAAGTGCTTCCCTGACAAGCTCAAGGGCCCGAGTTCATTCCTGGTTCTGCCCAAAAAACAAACAAACAATCTCTGTCCCCATTAGCTCATTCTTTGGGGTTGGGAAGATGGCTCAGTAGAATAAGCACTTCCCTGGCAAGTGCAAGGGCCTGAGTTCAATCTCCAGTTCCAGGGGGGGGAAAAAAAAAACAAAACTAATGAAGCAGACCTGTAGGAAAGGGGGACGTAATTAATGCACTAAATTGCTTACACATGATGGCTTAGGTTTTTATTATCTGTGACTGCTTTTTCTGGTTTTAAAGTTCCTTCCTTGTTAACTGGTTATCATTTTACATTGACAATGGTGTACTTGCAAAACTGGCCTCTTTTTCCTTTTTTCCTAGTGTTGAGCTGGTTAAAAATGCAAATAGCCACGCTCAGGCCTGAGCTGTGAGTGTAGTCCCTGATTTTCAGTGAGTTATCTAGAGACATATTTTGGTCTGTAGAGGACTTTCTTCTGATTCTTGTCTTCTAGATCTTATAACTGAGTTACCCAGAAACTTAATATATAAGTGGAATATAACTGTCATTTGCTTAAAAGATCATAGTCACTCATTTTAAATTTATTTTAATATAGGTGACTGGAGGTGTGCTTCAAAAATTTCAGCAGTTCAGCAGTATTTTATCTGCCAACAGTAACCTCTTTACTTGATTGCACCATGAATAAGCTGCTAATGAGACTTGAGCACAAAAGTGGACTTGAAGAACCAAAAGCCATTGTTTCCTAATGAAGAATCCTGAACGGTTTTAAGCCTCGATGCTTTTCAGTCACTACTGAGATTTACCCGTCACATCAGAATGGCAAGCAGGCGCAAATCAACAACGCCTTGTATGGTTCTTGCCAATGAACAGGATACCGACCTGGAGTTGGTATCGGATCTGGATGAAGGTCCTCCAGTCCTCACGCCTGTGGAGAACTCCAGAGCGGCGAGCAGCTCAAGTGACGAGGAAGTTCACGAGTCTGTGGATTCTGACAATCAGCAAAATAAAAAAGTTGAAGGTGGCTATGAATGTAAATATTGTACTTTCCAAACTCCAGATCTAAATATGTTTACTTTCCACGTGGATTCAGAACATCCCAATGTAGTGCTAAATTCATCCTATGTTTGTGTTGAATGCAATTTTCTTACCAAAAGGTATGATGCACTTTCTGAGCATAATCTGAAATATCACCCAGGTGAAGAGAATTTCAAGTTGACTATGGTAAAACGTAATAACCAGACAATCTTTGAACAAACCATAAATGATCTGACTTTTGATGGCAGTTTTGTTAAAGAGGAGAATACAGAACAAACAGAATCCATAGAAATTTCTTCTTCAGGAATCTCTATCAGTAAAACTCCCATTATGAAAATGATGAAAAATAAAATAGAAAACAAACGGATTACAGTTCATCATAACTCAGCTGAGGATGTTCCTGAGAAGAAAGACAATGAGATCAAACCAGACCGTGAAGAAAATGTAGAAAGTGCAAGTTCTTCAGCTTCAGAGTCTCATACAAGTACTTCCATTGTAAACAGAATACATCCAAATGCTGCCAGTACAGTAGTGACCCCCACAGCAGTCCTTCCTGGACTGGCACAGGTCATAACTGCAGTGTCAGCTCAGCAGAACTCTAACTTAATTCCCAAAGTCTTAATCCCCGTCAATAGCATTCCTGCCTACAATGCTGCATTAGATAACAACCCCCTTTTACTTAACACTTACAACAAATTCCCTTATCCAACAATGTCAGAAATCACAGTTCTTTCTGCTCAAGCAAAATATACAGAGGAACAGATCAAGATATGGTTTTCTGCCCAACGTCTGAAACATGGTGTTAGTTGGACTCCAGAAGAAGTAGAGGAGGCAAGAAGAAAACAGTTCAATGGGACTGTACATACTGTTCCTCAGACCATCACTGTCATTCCTACGCACATTTCCACGGGGAGTAACGGGTTACCCTCAATTTTACAGACATGCCAAATAGTTGGTCAGCCAGGTCTGGTTCTTACCCAAGTGGCTGGAACGAATACCTTACCTGTAACAGCACCAATAGCCTTGACAGTGGCAGGGGTTCCCAATCAGACAAATGTGCAGAAAAGCCAAGCACCTGCTGCTCAGCCTGTTGCAGAAACAAAGCCAGCTGCTGCAGCAGTTCCACCTTCTCAGAATGTCAAACCCGAGACGTCACTGGTAAACACTGATTCATTTGGCATTCGGGCAAAAAAGACTAAAGAGCAACTGGCAGAATTAAAAGTTAGCTACCTTAAAAATCAGTTTCCCCATGACTCAGAAATTATCAGGCTTATGAAAATCACAGGTCTGACAAAAGGAGAGATTAAAAAATGGTTTAGTGACACAAGGTACAACCAGAGAAATTCAAAAAGCAACCAGTGCTTACATCTCAACAGTGACCCCTCTACCACCATCATCATAGACTCCAGCGATGAAACCACAGACTCCCCCACTGCAGTTACTTCACAGCCTAAACAGGCCTGGAATCCTTTTCCTGACTTCACTCCCCAGAAATTTAAAGAGAAAACTGCAGAGCAGCTTCGCGTTCTTCAGGCCAGTTTTCTCAACAGCTCTGTTCTTACAGAGGAGGAATTAAATAGGCTAAGAGCGCAAACCAAACTTACCAGAAGAGAAATTGATGCTTGGTTTACAGAGAAGAAGAAATCAAAAGCTTTAAAGGAAGAGAAAATAGAAGTAGATGAAAGTAATGCAGTTAATTCCAAAGAAGAAGCTGGAGAAACTTCTCCTGGAGATGAGGCTGCCCCACCTAAGTCGGGGAGCACGGGCAAGATATGCAAAAAAACCCCAGAGCAGCTGCACATGCTGAAGAGCGCATTTGTCCGCAGCCAGTGGCCATCCGCAGAGGAGTACGATAAATTGGCTGAGGAAAGTGGCCTTGCTAGGACAGACATAGTTAGTTGGTTTGGGGACACTCGTTATGCTTGGAAGAATGGAAACTTGAAGTGGTATTACTACTATCAGAGCTCCAACTCCAGCAGCATGAATGGCCTGTCCTCCCATAGGAAAAGAGGGCGAGGCAGACCCAAAGGGCGGGGGAGAGGGAGGCCACGCGGACGGCCGCGAGGAGGCAAAAGGATGAACAACTGGGACAGGGCACCATCGCTTATAAAATTTAAAACTGGAACTGCAATCCTTAAGGATTATTACCTGAAGCACAAATTTCTCAATGAGCAAGACCTTGATGAACTTGTCAATAGATCACACATGGGATATGAGCAGGTCAGAGAGTGGTTTGCAGAAAGACAGAGAAGATCTGAGTTAGGCATAGACTTATTTGAGGAAAATGAGGAAGACGAAGTCGTCGATGATCAGGAAGAGGATGAAGAAGAAACTGATGATAGTGATACCTGGGAACCCCCTCGACATGTGAAGCGGAAACTTTCCAAATCAGATGAC